GGGCCCCGCTGCCGGGAAGGGGCCGAGGGGACTCGCGGAAAGGGCCCGCTCCCCACAGCACAAACGCGGTTTTATTGGGAATGAGTATGAAACAAGTGCAAAGTTTAACTTCCGCTGTTCGCACGGCACAGATGTTAAAACATTATGGTAATATCCCCGTTTTCACATTGATAGAACAAAAATAATACATAATGACGCCCTTCCAGCTCTTCGGTATAAACTTTGGTTCAACAAGGTCAGGTAAGCAACGCTACGCGTGTCCTTACAGCCAAACGCAGATCCAGGCCAGTTCTTCATTCCCCGTGCCACAGTTATTCCCAGAGGTAGAAACTCTGCAAGGGATCACACTGTAAAAATAGAACCCGGGATAAAAATTGCTCGTAGGGAGTTTGATTCTTTTATTTGAGTCCTCATCCAGACAGCGCAAGACTTTTTCTGAGGCTTTTACCCATCGAGGTCACCGTAAGCGATGGGAACAGCACGAATCGGAAAGCTCCTCGCTACAGGGAAAGAAGAGGGCTAATACTTCTGGTCTCCACTTCTACCCCTGCCCTCTTCCATAACATTAAGTATCACTGTGGCTTCCGAAAGATGAAAGTAATAACTCCGGGCGGAACTCAGAATAAACAGTTAACATCTTCGGTGGCATTTTAAATATGGCCAAAGAAAGAGCGTGTTGCATTGCTATGTATAAATTTACATTTCGTAATTCTTCTCGAACAGATACTGAAAATATACATTGCTTCTGTTGCATGGCTGAATTGTTTCCAAAGTGCATGAGATGGCAGCTTGCTTAATATGTGATTAGTAATGAATGTTTAATAAGATGAAAAGTCTTTTAGATAACTTAAAAGTAATCATTCAAGAAAATAAGCAGCCTGAACAAAAAAAAGAAATGCCTACACTGGTTTTAGGACAAGCAGTAACAACTTTTTTTTTTAAGAATAAAATTAATTTACAACATTTGCTTATCAAGAAAAATGTACATTTTCTATCTATATATTTTACAAAATGCTCCAGATCCGCTATGTATTTCTATGGGAGGTATATATTACAAAATTATTTGGCTGCATTATAAGGCAATCAGTGAAAAACACTTTGTCCTACAGGAAACCATTCACAGGTGAGATCCAATCACATGATTATTTGCAGACAATTCCAAACATTTCTGCTGACAGCAACCAAACTATGGCATATCATCTTTATTAAAATGTAAAGAAATGTGCTTAAAAGAGAAAGGCGTAAACTTGTATCCTCCACCAGAGTAGAATTTGTTCTGAAATTCCACCCTGAAACGAGACAAAAAGAACCCAGAATCCGTAGATTAATCTAAAATGACCGGCTGTCAAGGGATAGAAACATGCAACACAAAAGGCTGAACGAAACCAATCCTAATCCTGTCACTTATGCTTTCTGTGCAGCTATTTAACCTTCCTGTCACAGTCCCAGGCAAATTTCATGTCTCTCAAGAGACATAAACACACTGACATTGTGCTGTAATGGTTCATTTCTAACTTGTTTTCAAAGTTAGTTGCAGTTCATTGTTTTGCAAATATACATCATGAGGACAATACTCTGTAATGCATATAGCTCTGCCTCACCTGTTTATAGGTCTGCCTTTTCTTACACTGTAAATTTTGTCAGGTTTCAAACTAAATATTCTCTGAATCCACTCCAATGTGCAGAGCTCGTGATATTAAGACTAAGAAAGGATTAAAATACTTAAGGGTTGGCAGCCCCACTTTAGCAAAAGTTTTGCTCACTAATACAAATGTTCTGTTGAACCAAATAAATAGACTGAAGCCATTCAGCGATATAACCAGACTGAAATTAAAAATACCTATCCACATTACTAATATCCTACAGTATGAAAAGCTGCAATACTATAAATCAAATGTACTCATAGCTTGTCAACTCTGAATGTGGTAGAGGTTAATATGCATCATAAGCCAATATAATACTTGAATTTACTGCAAGTATTCCAGAGGAACAATCACATTCAACTAACAAGCCATTTATTTAACGTGATCAGATAATTCTATCACGGTAGCATTAGGCTGTTGATTTTTACACATTTCTTTTTAGTAAGGCACCTAATATTTTGACTCAAAAATTCCTCTTAAACAAGCTGGTATATGCTGAAGTGGTACAAAGAAAAAATGAAGAGTTAAAACTTACCAGTGAAGTCGTATAGCATGTAGAAAAGCAGACAGCCCCTCCATGACCAAAAGAATAAAAACCGTTAGCACAGCAAAAAAGGCTAGAACAGGGACTAGCAGTAAGACACCATACGTTGTATCGACACGAAGACCCACTCTCATCACCATTTGCCACAGAACTTCTGACAGCTCTATTAAAAAAAAGTTTTCATAATTAATGTTGATACTGCATACATTCACCCAGTGAGCTACTCTAACTGACCTGTATTCTAGTTTAAACATTATAGGATCTGCTAAACATGGGAACTATAAGCACCACCCCACCATCCCCCCCAGTTAGCTGTCCCCCTCTCCCTCCCCCAAAATACTTCAAGGTACATCTCAGTTTTAAAACAAGATCTACTGACGTCAACATTTTACACCATGACACTAAGACTGTGGCAAGTGCCTAAATACCTTCCAAACTGGCCAATCACTGGAAAATCAGAAATGGTACTGTGACTACCAATACACTACTATGTGAGGTAACACCATGCTCAGATAATTGGCCTCTTTACAACACAGAGCAATAAATGAGGAAAATTACTAGATTCCAAACAATAAGTCACAATTTCAGTTTAGGAGCTTTCCATAGATCATGAGTAATTTAAACAGGTAATTTTTTTTAAATTAAGAAAAAGATGATTTCATAGTAATATCACTTCAACAGGCCAGCCCCACTCTAACCAGCATTAAAAATCAAGACAGATGAAAAAAAAAACCCCAATCAACCAACCATGCAACTTACGTGCATGAGCAAGACTTAATGCCCAGAGTCTCAGATACGAGGCTGTATTAGAAATACATCCTAGACAGTATTCAATGGTATGAATTGCTTGATTCATAAAAACATCTGCAAAATTAAACTAAAATATAAAAATACATTTGTATCCATTTAAACAACATAGTATACCATGAGAGAACAAAAACATTCATCTGCAAAGCTTAATATACATGGAAGAATAATTCCATTAGAGAGTAATAAATTGATTTCATATCAAGTAAAAAAAAGATCTGCCATGTTTAAGATCCTTATTACAGAGACATTAAAAAAATCAGATGCTATAGTTTTCCAGTTAGTTTCCCCAATTACTTTGTTGATAGCTAAAAATGAATGCAATTTATGTTTTCCACAAGGAATATGATCTAAGACTTGAAAACTCTCAGTAGTAAAACCAGTCATGGTTCTGATTCCCATTCTATTGATGTCATAAGTTTACAATGCCAATTTTTGCATCTTTAAAACCAGGATTAATTATTAGTAATGCTAGTGACAGAAAAATAACTACATTAATACCGTAAACTCTAAGTATACAACTTGTTGATAACAAAGAGTTCTAATATTACTGCAAGTTTCAACACTTACTTTGCATGGAACTAGGACGGGTTTTATTTAAGCAAACATTTCTTATATTTTCTATACATAAGAAGCAAGAGTCTACTACCCCAGTGAAGCAAGTACTATACATAGTCTGCACACTAGGAAACTGAAACACTTTTTTGTCTTTCAATTCAGTGGAATCAGTCAAGACCTTTAAAAATTTGGCCAAACTAAACAGCAGCAGTAGCTGGGGACTAGGAATGCAGCTCATGTCTCCCAACCCCCATTAGCAATAATCCTCATCACAAGATGTAATTTGCAGACATAAACCCACTTTTGTCTGGATGAAAAGCCAAGATTAATTAACAGGAAGCTGGGCAGTCACCCTCTTGCTTTAATTTTAAGAATCCATAAAGCCATAGAAAAGCCAGGATTTTCATCCCACTCTTCAATTTAAGAAAAACTAGAGTTTAGACACAAAGTCCATAGATGCAAATAAAGCACTCTTCCTGTTCTCCACTACAGACAGATTGTGGTTTACTGTAACAATCTGAATATACCAAGAAATAATGACAAAATAGTAACAAGCAAAAATAAGTAAATTGCATTCAGGCGTCAAGGTCTTTGTAAAGGTTCAGCTGGCTTTCTTGAAAACTTCCAGGGACTCAGTGTACAGGCTGTCTTCTTGATCTTCCACTTCTAATTTGCTTTTAAGGACATACAAACTAGAGATTAAGTGAAAACATTACCTCCTCTCCATCCCCCTCTCTGTGCCCACTGTCTGAATGACTGCTTCCTTCTTCTACATCATGAGATCTCAGCAGAGAAAGTTCTTCTTCACTTTCTTTTCGAATTAGCTTGTAGCCACTCTGCAAAATGGAAACATACCCTGTCTTTAAGGGGACTGCCAGTGTCATTTTTTAAATTTAAAGTAGTCGCAGGCAAAGGCAAAAAGAGAGCTGAAGGAACAAAGCACTATTATGCATTACAGTCAAAAACTTTCCAAGTTGAGTAGAAATATCTAGTAAGGACTGTATTCTATATGCGATACAACAGCAGCTGAATTCTTCTATACTGAAGAAACGTGTTAAGTGTCTCTCAATACTTACCCTGTACATTCTAATGCCTCGGCCTCCACTGTGCAACCAATATAAATAAAGTGGTTTACCAAAAAGCATTACAGGAACAGAAAGAAAAGCAATACTAAGTAAAAACCTCTGTAGAGCAACCTGTTTAGGGAAGAAAGAAAGAAAATGAGATTAGATCACAAAATCAAAAGCAGGCAAAGCCTTCCCATTTTCCTTTAAAGGCCTGTTTAAGCATAAGGAAAGTACTACCGATTTCAGTGGGCATGTACTCCAAATTGAACATGCATGTAAGTATTGTACTTAATCAGGCCCTTAAATTGGGTTACAGACATCCAGCATCTTCAGGACTGGGTTCTAGATTAAGGCATTACTGATACTCAGTTTAGTAAGATTACTGACAGCACACAGAAAAGCATCAAAATTACAGGCATGAGACTCTAGCCTTACAAGCCTTTCTCTAGCCTTAATTTTAACCAGGGAGTTTTTGTTCTAGAAACAGGTATTTTCACAAGTCACTACATAAAATCCTACAACCCATTAAAGTGTAAATATGTTATTTAATCATAATGTTTATTCAATTTCCCCTTAGTCTGATACATTCCTGTTCCTAGGGGAACACCCAGCCATCAGCCTTTCATGCCTCGTAAAGTGTTATCTGCATAGGGAACAAGAGGATCTTCAGAAGCTTGTAAGAACACTACTGACCTGTCCGGTGTAGAAGACCTCTGTTTCACCACCAGGAAACAGGAACATGTTAATAAATTGAATCAGAATACTAGGAGCAGATGTAGAGTCCTCTGCAGAGTACGCTAACCATTTAAAGAAGATCATAAACACAAGGTAGCCAAAGATGCACATCATGAATAAAAGTTCAGGAAGAAAAACCAAATAAATATTATACTTCTTCTTGAAATGCCTAAAAGATAAAAATGGGGGGAAAAATGAAAAATAAGTTTTACAAAGAAAGATCAAGATAAATACATGCCCCAAACATGTTTTCAATAAAACAGAACAGTACCCAGCATGACTGAAATTAGAATCCAACTGATTTCTTCATATTTAGTGAAATTTTAATCAGGTATTTCAGTGGAAATCAACACCATAAGAGGCATGTATTTCTATTTAGCAACAAGTGAAATAAAATCTTGTATTAAACAATGTCTTCAGATTTTTTGGCATAATACTGATCCATCATCTTACATACGTGATGGAAGACCTCTCTGTTACTGTCTTTTTTTAAGAACCGTTTTCACAACTACTATTATTCTGTTTTTAAAAAAATTGTTCCAGTTTCCCTTACCAGACTGTTATAATTCAAGACTTGACAAAAACTATAATGTTAATATTATCTTAACTTCTTGTACTTACAAGTGGTTAAATACCCCCAATACAACTCCAAACGTCATGTGAGTTACCCCAAAAATCACAGACATTTTCATTTTGAAAGAGTTTAAAAAACTGAGACGGTTGCTTGCCAAATTCCAGATCTGAAGAAGAGAAGATAAAATCATCATTAAAGAACAGCGTAATAGAAGAAACAAAACAGTATCCTTTCCCTATTGGAGACCAGAATTCTACCTCAAACAGGGATCATAACTGAAATTTGAGTTCCATGAAAATAGCTAAGTCTTTGACTCATTAAAGAAAAAGCTCTTTTTGAATTAGAGAATGCAAGCAGAAATGTATTTTCTCCATAGTATGTTTATCTTCCTAATACACATACCAAAATCTAATTTACAAATGACTGATCATCACAAATGGATAATTTAAAAGCATAAAACTAACCGGATCAATTCCAAAGGGATAAGCTCCATTGTATACACCAGTAACATTTGGATCCAGTGTTAAAAATTGATTAGACTTCAGATCCTCAAGACTGCAGAGAAAGAAAAACACAATCAGATCTGACATTGTTTAAACATAGTGGCCACATATACTTTCAGTTTTGCAGGATGCTACTCCTGCTTTCCTTTATATGACTAGCTCACCCACTGTCAGTCTTTAAAAGAAGAATAAAAGGATTTCTAAGCACAAAAGGCCTGGCTAATAAAAACAATAAAAAAAAATTTTTAAAAAGTTCTAGAAATTCACAACCTGGGCTCAATTCGCACTAACTGTCTTTGAAAAGAAAGTTTCTGGATTTTATTCCTCATTCCCCGAGACTGGAAAGTTTCATATAAAAAGCTCACAATTTGCTTTTACATAAAAGTCACTAACAAACACCCAAAGAATAGTTTATATCTTTTTTCCCTTTTGCATTTGGATGAGTTTCCACTCTAACTTCATATATTTTGTAATTAACACAGCACTCACAACCTGTTCACATTTTAACCAGTCAGTGGTTTTGACTCTACTATTTTAAGCCACTTCCTGTTTTTGAGGCAAAATGAAAAGAAGCTGTGAACATTTAAATACCAAAGGGCCATGACACCTCAAAACGATGAGGTTATCCCACTTTGAGAAAAAGTAGGTTTGACAATTCATAGCCTACTTTTTTTTTTTTTTACTATCAAAAAAAGCTGTGCAAAGACTAATGATTGCTAGGTAATTAACTTATTTCATTAATTGTTAATTTCTTTACAGTAGATGCTAATGCTCCTTGGCTATTCATTCCAGAAGCATGACCTGGGGCAAATTTCTCCAAAACTAGCCCTGTGTTTTCTATTCCTCTCAAAATCTGATACATATATTCAGAAACCTGTCCTGGAAAATATAGTAATTGGAGACAAATTAAAACTATTAGCATAAAGACAAATCCATAACACAGGAGGCAGAGCACTTTTTATGAATAAAAAGAATACACGATAAGACAAAGCTCTAGTGCCTTCTGTTAGGATTTTTACAATACTACTGAAGTCTCCAGCCATCCATAAGAACACCTTTGTGAGACCACAAAAAAAGATGCAAAACACAGTTGAGAAGGTTTAGATACTGAATAAATCCTAGAAATATCACCTCCGAATATTAGGTGCAAGTTCTTCCTACCAATAAAAAGACACTACGCCAGCTCAGTTTTTAATCACTAAAAGTTATTAGGTAGGATTTAGCATTAGGATATTGCCACAGAATTTGTTCCAGGAAAAGCCTGGTTGTCATTAATACCAAATGATAATGTTCTAGAAAATGTTCCAGGTGACTGAGGACATATAAATCTGGTAAAGCAGCACTGATAAATATGAGATTAACGTGACAGATTGACTGAATTAAATATAATCAAATTCTAATACTGGTTTTACAAGACATTGTGTTCTCTGTGGATCTCCCAGTTTAAGATAATAAGCAATTCGACTTTTTTGTTTTCAAATAACTATTACCGCCTTTTTTATTTTAAGCACAGATGTATCACTTAGCCCTTAGCACACTAGCACTGACCACCTTAACAACTAGATTTTGCTAGATTTCACTACATTTACTTACTACTCTCAATAAAAGGATGGTTAAAATGGGTGAGCAAAAGGGTTAAATTGTTGCAGGAAGTAGACTTTTGTTTTAATGGTGTAGCAAACAGAGGCATGCTACTCACCGCCAAGCCTTCTGTTCAAACATTGCTGAAACATTCCATCCAGAACCAAAGATATTTAATGACTTTGAAAAACAGTCATTATAGATCAGTCCAGTGTATACAGAAAACAGACCCATTAATAAAATAACGTATCGGCCTTCAAATAACATTTTCATTATCTGTAAGTATTAAAAAAAAAAAAAAAAAAAAAAAAGAGAGAACATCATCTGCTCTGCAAACAATCATTATCTACGCATTTCTAAGAAAAACACATTTTTGGCCATACCAAGACTTCCAAAACCTAAAAATTCTTGTGAATAGTCATTAACAATATGAAGAAACCCATGGCCAACCAAGACGTAACATGGGTTTACCAAACTCCCAGGCTAAAGAGACTCCACAGAGTCTGCAGACAACAGGAGAGGCAGTCACTGTGTAGATTCCCTTGGGGCTCAGAGCAATAGCTAATAAACAGACTGAGGTCTTGGGTATCAGGCTGTAATCTGCTAACTCTTACTGTAATGCGTTTGCACTATTTATGAGGTTACCCACATATACTTAAATGAGGTCAGATAATTTTGCTTTAAGCATGTGAATATGCTATTTACAAATGGCAGTCACCAAATGGGTGCAGTTCATCTCCCCACATTCACAGCTTTATGTCAAGCGTTTTATATGCAAAGGTTTATATGCATTAGGAAATAGAGCTATCAGCAAGAAGTATATTCTGAAAGACAATTGTGGTTTAAATTGAATGCAGATTTGAAATCCCTATTGCAGCTCCCATGACACAAACAGAGACTTTTCTCATTGACATCGTTACACTAACAAACAGTCTTTTTAAACCACACTTCCTTCCCAGGACTAGTTTTCAAGAAGTTAGTCATTTGCAGCCATTCTTAATTAAACATAATTCTAATGAGATGCATGTGTTCCTGTATTCCAACCACACATCATTAAAAAATTAGTGAAAATTAAGTTTAATGAATTTCAAACTACAACTCCTTTTCAGAAACAATAAAAGATGATGGAATTTGAAAAATCATTTTCTTCTCACGTTAGTCACTGTAACCACATTCTGTAAAACACACAGATCACTAAGTAGCCCTAGCAGAAGGAAAGACAAGCCCAACAGCATCAAATAATTTTTGTCAGTCTTTTATTCCAACCTAATTATTTGTACCCTTTCAAAAAAAGTGAAGTTTGTTAAGATATCACATTAATCTTGAGGAATATAGCAACTTTAAACACAGAAAATCCTGAAACAAAGGAAAAAAACCCAGTCTAATACATGTGCAATAAGTAGTACTTTTCAGAAACACAGTAACTATTCAACTGAAGTTATCTCGCTGGATGGGGAGTAAATTATTGTAATTCCTTTTACCTCATCTTGTGATCTTCGTAATCTAGGGTGGTTTTCATACAGTATCGTCAGGAGCGCAAATATGAACATTAGCAGACCATGCCCAAAGTCACCAAACATAACCGCAAACAAGAAGGGAAAAGTGATGATGGTATAGAGAGCTGAAATGACAACATAACAGATTTCAGGCACGCAGCACAACAGATGACGTGTGTGCATAAGCACAATTAACCTCTCAAACAATTTTCAGCTTTAAGTTTGAAAGACATTTCACCCCCTGCTAACAGACCTTTCCCACACACTATAAATTTAACTCAGTTTAAAGCTTGCTTATCTATATCCCTTAGTAATGACAACTCTGCAGTTGAGCATTAGCTGACAATTTTGAGGATAATAATATGAGCCCAGGAAATAAAACCCAAACAAACAGTTCTTCCTCTGTGGCTATTTTGGCTCTGTACTATAATGTACATTCTCCTGTACAGCATGACATAGTCAACATAGCTGCAAAAAATACATAAGGACATGAAACTAACTGGACTATACAACAAGCTGGATTTTTTCAAGTGATAAGCTCCACGCTGCAGTAAGATCAATAGCCATTACTAAAGTCGTCTTTTTTCCCCTAAATATCTTATCCAAGGTAAAGCATATAAAGAAACATTATACAGCTATTATGAGTATCTTCAATGCTAAAATAACCCAGCAAAATCAAATCCCATCTTACTGCTTGGAGCACCATTTGTACTTTCGACGAGCTACTGAAATTTTAAAATAGCTACTAATAAGCAGTGCAGTTGTCACCATTTTGCCTTTACTAGTGTCCAATTCAGCAAGGTAAAGACATAACAAGGCAAGCAGTAATGACAGCACAGCTCGCAGTTCGGATTTCAGAAGGACCAACCTGGATTAACTTCCCCATAGTTTCCAACTCCATAAGCATCAACGATGTTTTGGAACCCTGAGGTGAATTTATTGGTACGTATCAAAGTTGGAGGAGGCTGTGTTGTTGGGATGGTATTCATGAATGAAGAAATTGTAGCTCCACTCTTCCTCTAATTGCAGGCAGAGAGAAGATACATTTATGTAAAAGCTCAGCTGATACTCCATCTAATCAAAGTGAAAACATTTTCTCTATCAGCAGTTTCACTGATCCTGAAACATCCCTAAATTAAGCCCCAAGTTTAACATTTATCCCTTCGTGCCTTCTTAAAAAATTACATTAATCTGTTCCTCTAAAAACACTAATTATGTCCAGTGTTCTAATCCTTACTTTATATGAAATACTAAATGAGAATCATCAGTCAATATTATAAAACAAAGATTTGTTACTAAAAAAATCTCTCTTGTAAAACAAAGAGATGGAGCTGCACTCAACACAACTAACACAAGGGAATTAGCACCTTTGACTTGACTGCAAATAGCATAGCATTGTGAGCCCAGTCAGACTTAAGTCCAACACAGAAGTTCTTATTCAAGAAAAAAAAAAAAGAACAAAAAAACCACAACCCAGCATTAAATAAAGGCTCTGCTAATAAAGAAATTGTTTTACATGAGTTCATAGAGACCCAGACCTGCCTGTGCCTACTTTTAGCCTATTTTAAATTATTTTCTTTCCTTATCTGTATAGTTAGTTCAAAAGTTTTAACATCAGTGAGCATTCAGCTGACTTACTGAACCTTCCTCCAATGCATGGCGCAAATTCTGCAGATCAGCCACCGGACACCAAACCTCAGCGATTAAACATTTATTTGTGACATCAAAACTGCACAGGTTGAGTACATGATAAATGGCTTTCATCTTCTTCACTTGGATAACCCATGTATAGATGGATTCAGATGCTTTACACAAGACCTGGCGTAAGTAATCCTCAGTTTTATGCAGCACCTTTGTCCAAGAAAAAAACAAAAAAGATTTCACTGAAAATGTAACAGTGGCTATGTTAACCACAGTAAGAGCACCCAGTATTTGTGCAATGCTGGATGACATTTGTAGGAGGCCACGCTAACCACTGCTTAAAACAGAAGGCAATGCCAAGTGCCCTGAAGTTTAATAGATACATGCAACACGAGGCCAGGGACATGACATACAGCCACGTTCAGATCCAAAGCTGTATGTATTTTAGAAACTTATTCACGTATTTAATGCTGTGATTTGTCAAATGATTTCCTATGGTGTAATAACTACAGCAAAGGGAATACTGTTATTTACTCACAGTATGAAGATCCTGAATACGAACATTTAGTCCTTCAACAACTGCCTTGCGCTCCTCCGTGGTATTTGGATAGGGATACACATGACAGTGATAGCTACAGAAAAACAGACGTTTGTGTTAAATAACCAAGCTAAAACAAACCAAATCACTCAACCCCATGCCCAAGTCAAATCTGCAACACACCATTTAATAACCATGGAACAGATTCAACTGAGAGAATCAGTATTTTGCCTGTACTTAATAAGAACTGCAGATAAAAATGACTCATACGTTTATTTGTATAGTGCATAATTATAAAGCTAGATGCAAGGCGGGGGGCGGGGGGAGAGAACAAATTTAACTTCAAAAACCTTGCCTAAAAATCGACATTTAAAAGGAAGGGGAGCAGGGGGAAAACTAATGAGAAAATAACCCAGGCATAAAGAAAGTATATATATTAATTTTACTTCTTACCAATCACAAATCTTCTTAACTTTCTGGCCAATTTGTTCACCCCAATAGGACACTAAAAAAACAAACCATTTTGTGGTTTCACCCTAAAAAAAAACAAAAAAGTTAAGTTGATTAAGTTTGATTTTAACCAACAACCCCACTGTGATAAAATTATAGAGCAAAATAATAAATTTGAATAATTAGAAAAAGCATCAACCTTCCACCATTTTAGCAATCAAAAAAAATAAAATTCAAGTGTGCCAATCTCTCTCTCTTTTTTTGGTGTATTAGAGAAAAACAGAAAAAGTTTTCAGGGAAAATAAAAGAGAGATTATATTTTACCATTTCAGGATTATTAGTTACAAAAAAGTCTTAAAAAATTAAAATGTTACAAATTAGAATTGAATCAAAATTTAAAAGTGACAGATTAGGCAGCCACAATTGCTGATTTACAAAATATGAATTCTGTAAGTTCAGAGAAAAAACTTCATAGAAGACCAACTGTACTCCAGACTTTTTTTCTTCCCTTAACTACTGAATGAACAAATGAAATTACTATTACAAGGTAATGCACTGTACAGACCTCATTAATAAATATCCAAGCAGCCGTTTATGCCTCATAGTATTCGACAATAAAGTTCTGCACTCATCAAGCTGAACCATGATAAATTAATTGCCACTCCTCTAGTTATGGTGGCATCAAGACCTCTAATTTTAAAGTCTTAGACAAGTTCTAAGACTTTAAAATAGTTTTCCCTCCAAGGGCACTGGGAAATCATTTACATTCATTGCAGGCAGACCTCAGCAGCAATTCCTCCAACTCTTACGAAAAGTACAGAGAAAATAAACTGATAGTTACAATGTTTACTCACTGTATCTGGATCTTCCAGACATTCATCCAACTCCGCATAGGTGAGAATAGTATATCCTTTACAGACTCTCCACAGCATTTTTTCAAATGCTTCCACTTTTGCTATGTGAACTAACCCAGATATGAATCTATGGAGAAAGAAAAATTTGAAAAATAAGCTAAAATTCACAACAGAAATTAAAAACTCAGAGTACGTCATCACTCAGGATCACATAGTCGCAATAATTTAACATCTGCCATCTCTAGAGAAGGAAGCGTCACTCTAAACAGGACGTAACTGGTATATAAAACAGACTCAATTTCTATTTGGAAAATGATCTGTAGGCCTGAACACACATCTAGAATTATATCTGACATTGTTTCTTTCTGTGATAGTGAGGTTCTTAATTTTTTTCTTGTAAGATACCCTCTCATAATGGTGTTGTGGAGAGCAGTATCCATACATCATTTTAAAGGCAAGTAGGCAATACCATTAATAATGTTACATTTACAACTGACACTGCCAAGTGATTAAAACACTGTGTGTTTATCCTAGAAAAACAGAGTACAAAAAAGTACTGATTTAGAGATTTTCCTTAACACACATACTTGGTTTGATGGAAGGTTTGTGACATTTTTTTTGGTCCTGTCCTACTTATCTCTTCAGAGAATCCAATTTTGTTACAAAGGTACATTTGGGCCAGGCTTCTACCCTGTCTAAAACTGTTTAGCTCATCTGAAATCACTAGAGTCACACTACATTCCATCTTTTAAGAAAAGAGCCCATTATTTAGAGCAGCTCATCAAGCAGTTTTGAAACAGCACACACTGACAACCTGCTGTATATGGACTGAACCATACCTACCCCAGCTTGGCACCCAGTCTGTGCATACAGTTGTAATCCACTAATGGCTCATTTTCCACAGATGGAAATTCTTCATAATTTGCATATAAATGGGATTCATACTAGCAAATAAAAGAAAGATCATTCATAGCTTTCAGAAAAAAAAAAAATCATTCATTTATTACTCTAAAGAAGAAAAACTAATTAAGTAATTTATTTCAGTAAAAATATAGAACCCTTTCCTGTGTTCAATTCAGACAACAGAAAGACCTTGGGATCTCAAGTGCGCTGCTCTTCGCAATTATAGTCAGTGTTGCAACGGTTACATGGTAAACTTCTTGGCACAATTTATGCATCAAAATAACAGAAATACACCTTCATTTTCAGTTGGCTTCAGCAGTAACATTCAAACAATTCAAGAGAGAAATCACAAAGCTCCTCTAAGTTCAGGGCTGCATTTTGCTATGTATATGAACACAGCCTAGCACAAGAGGTTGCCAGCCATGTTCTCTAGGTACTGAGCATAAATAATAAGGAACAATGTACAGTGCTGTAAAGCCCAACAGCAAGTCACGCACTTAACTACAACTACTAGCAGTATGCAACAAAAATGCCACATGACACACAATCCTCGCCAAACAACATAAGCAGTACCTCAGCTGTTCTCCTGACAAATCTTTGCGTGACCTCTAACATGCATGTGTATTCTGTCAGTTCAAGCAGGTTTCTCCTCAGCTTTTCTTTGTTTTTAGTTACTTCCCTCAATTCTGTCTCCAGCTTCTGCAACTGTTCCTAAGACATGGAGAAAAAAATTACATAGAATCTCAGTTATACTGTTGTGGAAATCAAGCACAAATTTCAAGCACATGTTAATTTACTGCAATGATGGGAGTTTCCCAATTTCTTAATTAATTTAAGCTCCATAGGTTTTATTCCTCAGTCTGCCAAAGACTGCTTTGTACTGAGTACACTTGATCCTCCACTGGCATCTGTTAAGTCTGCTGTTCTGACCCTAATTTGTGTCGGAGCTAAGTAATGCAGACTTGGAATTAGAACTTCAGATAGTACAGGGTGCAAGACACTCATCTATTCTATTAATAGAATTACAGCAAAACAGAATGTAATTCAAAATTATATCTGCATTTTACAAGCTTCTACTTCTAACATAATACCACAAAAAGCATTCAGAGAAAACAGCACCATGTTTTGCTACGCAACCAGCACTGGAACCTGCAGAGCCTTGGGCATATAAAACTCCCACACACCCTGGAAATTTTGGATGCACAAAAAGAGCCTTAGGTTAAGTCCCAAAGCAATAAATGATGCTGAAGGACTGCAACTACAGACAATTTTCCTGGAACAGTGTAATATGCCAATCCATCAAAATAAAACAGATGACTGCAAATGCCATAAGTTAGCTTTGACCCTTTCAACAGAAATTTTGTGTTAATATCAAATACTCACTGGCAGAAAGAAGGGGGGGGGGGGAGAGATGGACAAAAACAAAAGCAAAGGCTTCTACCCCCCCTGCCGCACCCCTACAACTTACGTCGTGAGTAATCAGATAGCAAGTAATTGAGTTTGAAATAAAGTTCCAAGATCCAGAGCTACACTTTTGGCATATGTGGTGTGGAAAAGTTACCTGGATTTCTAAAACATGTTTCAGCAAGGGGGCAGGAGGAGCAACATCTCCTTCAGGAAGTGGAATATCTGCTTTTTTAATTTCTTGTACTAAATACCCTGGAGTGAGAAGAAAAACAGAATCAGAAAGCAAACGCATTGCCTTATACTTCCTAGAATGCTGCATGGTTGACCTTCAGCTGTTATTGATGGTGCTGATCACACTGCAGCATCAGGCCCTGGCTATTTTATTCATTTATTTTAGCAACAACACACACATTAGAGTCTTCAAAAAGAATGCAAGGAAAGGGTGAAGACTGGTCCCTCCAGGGTGAAAAAAAACCAGGGACTTAGGGAGTGGTAGGAATAAAATACACAGAACATTTCTGTCTTGAAGTTTGCAGAAGTGAACCACTTTCAGAGCCCTCTGACTGAAATTTTCCAACCACAAATACTTTTTAAGAAGCTTTTAACATTTTGTAGTATTTCTTTGTTGCTGCAAAATATCGCTTTCTGCTAATCGTGCCATCTGCCAAAAATTGATGTCCTGCTCATTGACCCATGTTTGGAATAAAAAGCATTCAAGCAAGGTGGCTTAAGCAACATTGACAACAAATGCAACTCATGCTGGGCAGGAAGACTGCCGAAACAGCAACGGGGATGGTTTGGCATGACCAGCACACGCCTCTCATGAGAGATTCCAATAAAAAGAATCCTTCAACAGTAACTTTTCCTCAGGATACACTGAGGAAATCTGCATCTGGGTTGTAATGCTCTGCATACTCTTCTCTATTCATTAACTACCACGTGAATACAATTATTAGTAACTTGAGGTATTTTTGAGGGTGCTTGGAAGTTCAACAGCACTGAGTTACATAAAATGAAAGCCAGAGTTTATCTTATAGGCAAGGAAATATCCAGAGTAAAGCTTCCATTTTCCTAGCAGAGTTTTAAGCAGTCAATACTGAAATTGCCTCAACTATTTATCAGAAACACATCAGCAGCTCTTCTCCTCTGAGCTTAAAAAAAACCCCCAACCTATATTTAGGACATACATATTGTAGCGTAAGTAAATTTTACAGTTCACAAAACCGAGAAACCAAGGTCAGTGGTAAAACACTGAAACATGTTGCCCAGAGAGGTTGTGGAGTCTCCATATTCAAAATCCCACTGGACACAGTCCTGGACAACTGGCTCTAGCTGCCCCTGCTTGAGCTGGAGATTCACTAGGCGATCTCAAGATGTCCCTTCCAATCTAAACGACTCAGTGATACACTCAAAACTGCTGCAGCGTATCAACACAAATTAAGGAAAATATTTGTATGTCCGGACCCAATTCAGTGCTGCAGTCAAGTCATCTCCAGTTCCAAAAATCTGCATAAAGACTCTACATATGAGTGTATGTACATGTATTTTTTCATACATATGAAAATTTTATAAGATTCTACAGCATGCAGCTCATACAAGACTGGGAGTATTAAAGAAAACCCTGTAGCTGAAACCTCCACCGTAGTTCCACTCTTAGCAATGTAAACTTTAATAATGCCACAGATGAGAAAGGGCAGACATGAAAGTAAAGCTCACCAAGTATTCTTTCCATTTCTTCACACTTCTTTACTTCATTCACAAATTTTCTCTGAAATACACTTACATTTGGGTTAAGCTGAGGAGAAGAACAAAATGCTTATTAGGTATTTAAAACAGCAACCACCCCTAAAAAACCAGCTATTTCTGTGACTTCACATCAGAAATTCTGCACGTATTCTACGTGCTCTCTTTCTACAAAGTGCTTTTCAGCTAAGAAGGTATAAAAACCTAAATGGATTAAAAAGTCTTCAAATAGCAAGGTTGGTTTTATTAAAGCAGAATTATCAATGCCTTTTGCTAGTTTTACTCAAATAACAAACTAACTAGATCTACTGGAGGAAAACATTCCTAATCCGATTTTTAGGGTTTTAAAATACTGCTTAACGACTTCAGATTAACAAGCAAACCTTTCTACAAGCACATTTTTGCGATGGATTTCCACAGAATCTATTTGAAATGTTGAGGTTCAAAAGAATCTTTTTATGTACATCCTCACATTATGTATGTGCAATGTCTCTGACACCTTATTCAGCTTTTAAGTCAGACTCACTAATACATTCTTTCTGGAATAAATGGTGTGTCAGATACCTGGAATGGCATCAACATGTTAAACATCACACCCATATAACGATTGTTACAGATTTGTCTCTTCCTACCTGCCGTATTTACTAACAAGCTGTTAATTTAAGTTCTCCCAGGCTTCCTTGTAAAGATTTTGCAACCTACATTTCTGAAGAATACTTGGAAGAAATTCCAAAGTCTCAGTCAGCAAGTAAAGATCATATAATTACGATGAGACAATGCAGAAACAAGGTTAATTATTACCCGACCCAATTTTATGTTAGTCGGGCGTGTAGTTTCCTCCAAGGTGAATTGCTCCTCCAGAACAGACATGTTTTACAAGCCAGCAGTGTGTGATGTTGAAGAAATAAGCCTACAGAACAGCTAAGGTGTTTCTATCGATCTGTCAGCGGGGTGGACATATCTATTAGCTGTGCACAAACACTCAGACTAAAGTCAGGGTGGCTTCAGGTGGGCAGTGGGCTCTCTCACATGATCCTACTGCAAAAAAAAAAAAACCCAAGTTTAAACTACTTCTATGAGAGGAAGAATACATCCATCCCAATTGCCACTCTACCCTTAACTGGTTTAGTGGTGGACTTGGCAATGTTAGGTTAATGGTTGGACTGGATGATCTTAAAGGGCTTTTCCAACCTAAGCGATTCTATGATCCCAAACCACCACCACCAGCCCCCCCAGAGTCTCGCGGAGGCTGGGGCTCCACACTGACTTTCTATCACCCAATCTCGCCTTCAGGCCGACGCGATACAGCTATCAGCCATACATCTGCCAGGCAGAGTCGGGGAAAGAAGGAAGAGAGGACGTCTTGGAGTCTTTTACATCGCACCATCGGAATGAAACCTACACCTTCCCGACGGC